TACCATTGTGCATATTGTTGTTTATTAAAACCCTTAAGTGTGGCCAAAATGTTTGGTTTTATCATTTTTTTCTAGTTTATTAAATGCCTTAAGTTTGAAAGAAATGTTTAGTTTTTATGGTGTAAATCTGCAAAAATGATAAATTGACAAAAAAAAGTTATAAACCTTCGACTTTTATAAACCAAAAATACATAAACGAACCACAAATAATAAAAAGATAAATATGTATAACTATGTCAAAGTAATAAGAGTTAGATGGACTCGCCTTTTATATTTCATTTAATGATGATTTAATGATCGATTAAAATAACTTAGTAGGGTAATCAGCTTGCCGTTTTGTTCACATTTAGGTTAACTCTTTATTTTTGTACACATTTGACCATTTTAACTTGTTATATGTGTTCACATATTGTCATTGTCACCGAGCACCGGCTATAGCAGGTGGCAATGGTAATATGTGAACAAATTAACAAGTTAAATGATTATATTTATACAAAAAAAGTTGCCTAAATGTGAATAAATCGAATAGTTAATTACCCTGCTAAGTCATTTTCCCCATTTTTAATAACTATTTTATTTTTCATATTTGTATGTATTATTTTTTCCAAACGTTATTTTTAAAATATCAATAATTTCCTAAATAATAATTAAATATTGATTAATTTTAAACGTCATTTGTTAATTAATAAATATGTTTTTGTTTTGTGAAATATTTTATATAGCCTCTTATAATTTATTTTAATTTGTTTTTAAGCATATACAATATTTTTAAAGTAAATAATATCTAATAATAAAATTAAGTAAATTAAATATATAACAATAAGTATGGAGGGTCTTTTTAAAAAATAAAAAGAAAATATTACTTAGCAAATAAAAAAACCAAAAGAAATCTATATAATGTAAATGTTTTAAAATTATTCCAACTTTTTAATACTTTTATTAGAAGTTTATAAACTTTTAATTTTTTTACTACAACGTTTTAAACTAGTATTTAACGAAAGTATTTTAAAATATTATAAAAAATTACTAAATTGTCATATAAAATCTGTGAAAAACTTTAAAAATTTTGTAAAAGAAAGCTTAGATATAAATATATGAAACTTATAAAAAAATGGTATTAAAAAAAAAGTTAAAACATTTATAAAATATTTGGTTTATAAGCACTTGTATTAAAATTATATGAAAGTATAAAAAAGTGTAATGCTCAAATATGTAAAATAATAATAATAATAATAATAATAATAATTAAAATTATATAAAAGTATAAAAAAGGGTAATGGTCAAATATGTAAAATAATAATAATAATAATAATAATAATAAAAGTTAGTTAAATCGTGAACAATACCAAAATGTAATTTCGGTAGCAAGTCATTTTTGCTCCATCTTTTCATGATGCATCCATTACTTCAGTCGCATCTCTGTCCTCTGGTCAATGTGAAGGCATGAAGAATACGCCTACTAGCGACCTTTGACCCAAACTTTGATCTTGTTTCTCACTTGCTCCATTTTCTCTGCCATTTGTTCGGTTGGCTTACTGTGTATGCCTTTATTGCAATGGATAGTGGCGGAAACATATGGAGCACAAGGCCGGGGGTAAACCACGATGTTTTTTTCAGTTAAGTTTTCATCAAGTTTAATCAGGGCTCAACGTATATGTTCTTTAACTATTTTCAATTCATTCACCTCCCCAATCCCCTCTTCGACCATGTTCTCCTCTCTTGTCGGCTATCAAACTTATCAGGAAAACCACAGGTTCCCGTTAAGATCGATTCATAAGCACTGAATCGGTAGAAGGGTTTTTAACATATCACGGATATCACGAGATGTTTAGGAATCAAATTGGAATTGTTTTATGATTGTTCTGATTTTGTTTCAAGAAGTCTGGAGAAGACGATAGAAAGTCAACGGTCATCCACTAATCAGACGCAACCTTCCTTTGCCTACCACACGTTTGAAAATCTTTTTTTTGGATAGAAGAGATTTCAAGAAGTAAAGGCCGCGCCAAGGGAAGCTACCCCAGAAGACGTTAGGTGCATCTGTCATGGATACTGACTCTTTATTCACACTACCAGATCAGACATGTCAACGGTTTACTCTTTCAGAGATTCAATTGGCAACCAACAACTTTGACGAGACTTTAGTCATTGGGCGTGGTGGATTCGGCAACGTGTATAAATGTGATCCCAGCAAGATCGGGTTTGTACGCCAAGTTGCAGTTAAACGGTTGCATACCATGTCCAACCAAGGAAGCCATGAATTTGAGGCCGAAGTTAAGGTGCTTTCCAAGCTGCGGCATGCCAATCTTGTATCTCTGGTTGGTTATTGTATTGAAGGGAAAGAGATGGCCCTTGTTTACGAGTTCATGCCTAATGGTACACTTAAAGATCATCTTTGCAGAGCTGATTGTGCCTTATCTTCGTCACAACGACTCAAGATATGCATAGGTGCAGCTCGGGGATTAGACTACCTTCACACAGGCACATCAACCCAAAATGGAGTTATACATCGTGATGTGAAGGCATCCAATATTTTGTTGGATGCAAACTTTGCTGCTAAAATTTCAGATTTTGGATTGGCCAAAGTTGGTCCGATAGATCAGACAAGAACTTATGTCAGCACCAATGTCAAAGGGACATTTGGGTATATGGACCCATGCTACTTCTATACTGGAAAATTGACAAGAAAATCTGATGTTTACGCCTTTGGAGTTGTATTGTTTGAGGTGGTGTCCGGGAGGCAAGCGGTGGATTCAACCTTAGATGAAGAGCAATGGGGCTTAGCACCTTGGGCCCAAGGCCAAATCAAAGAGGGAAAAGTCAATCAAATTATTGACCCTAGAATGATGGGACAAATCTCAAAAAAATGCTTGAAGGAGTTTGCAAGCTTAGCAAGTCGTTGTTTACATACCCAACCAAAACAGCGACCTACCATGGCAGAGGTTGTTGTCAAGCTCGAATCAATTCTCTCACAAAAAAGAGAAAATGTGAATTCTGTCATTGATGAAGGAAGATTCATTTACAAGGTAATGTCTTTTTTCACAGGAAAAGTTGACATGGTGTCGGATAGTGCAGTAGGAAGGAAATCTGTGATTCAAAATGAGGTAGTAGGAAAAAAATCTCCTACACCTGATCATGCAGAAAGCAGAAAATCTATGATGCTGGATGGTGAAGTAGCAGGAACATATGAGATGCCCGATGGAACAGTAAGAAGAAGATCTGATTTCAGTGGTCTGAATGTTCAGCTATCTAATCATCGAAGTGTAAGACATTTTACATACACTGAAGTGGTACGTGCAACAAATAATTTCGAACACACGGAGCATTCCTCAAGTTTAAATGAACTCATTTACAAAGGCTGGGTTGATAAAAGAACATATGCACCAACAAAATATGGGGTTGGTTTGGCGATTTATGTTAGGAAGAAATATATTGAAACGTGGAAGGTATTTATTTCAGTATGTGATATGATCATGTAGGACTTATTTGAGCTAGCATAATGATTACACCTCATGTACTGTATTGTCATGGTTTCTAGTCTATTCTAGATTAGTAGGATACTGATGTACATTTGACAATTTGGCTGTGCAGCTCGAACTTGAACTAGAAGATTTCAATCATCCAAACCTTGTCAAACTCTTGGGATATTGCTCTCACTGGGGAGAATTTTATTGCTTGTACGAGCTTATTCGTGACACTACAAGTTTAGATAAGTATCTTTTCATAGGTATACATGTCTTCCAATTATAATTTTGCAGAACCCTTCAGACTTACATCTCACAAAGTTGGTACATGTGGATGAACTTCCCCCAAAATCAACACTAATTAATAAGACCCTGCTTTTCGGTTGTTAACGTTAAGTGCAAAAATAGACTGGCTTTGTTTTCTTCAAGACGTAAATTATATGTTATATATGCAGAGCCAGGTAGCACATCACTTCCTTGGGTTTTAAGACTGAAAATAGCAGTAGGAGCAGCTAAAGGCCTGGCTTTCTTACATCGAAGGAAACATCCAGCATATAGCCAATTTAAAACGAATCATATATTGGTGGATATGGTAAATTAGACTGTGTGTGATGCCCTTGGATTTTTCATCTCAGCATTACATAGGTTTTAATTTCTTTCTCATGCTTTTTGTTTTCAGGATTTTAATGCTCGACTATCGGATTTTGAAGTGGAAAATTTATACGCCACAAAAGAGCGGTTTGGTTATGTACTTGATGGATTGGCTGGTATTTTCAGTTCACTAGCTGAAGATGGTATCTTCTTCTTTAAAAGTGAATTCCTTTGCATATTCTTTACACCACACCAGAACATAGAGACATCCACTTGTCTGAGAAATCATTTACTCAACGGCTAAAAAGCCTGACTTAGATGAGAAGAGTGACCAATCAAACCCCATTTTGGCAGGTACTGGAGTGAAGAGTGAGATCTCTTCTTTTGGAGTGGTACTACTCGAAATACTAACTGGGATGAAGTTGTATGATGAGAAGAGTCCCTCAGGAAAGCAAAATTTGGTGGAATGGGCTACTATATTTCTAGCAAATGAGTTTAAATTGGGATTGATTATGGACCCACAACTTCTACATAATGGTTATCCTCCAAAAGGAGCATTCAAGTTGGCTCAACTTGTTTTAAATTGTCTTCAATCTACACAAACCGGATGTCTTTCAATGAAAGAAATCGTGCAGGTCTTGTGCGGGTGCTATGAAGAAGAAATCAGATCAGTGTGTAGTCAAACATTATAGTGTTTTTTTGGCATAAATAGATGTAAAAAAAGTAAGCTATATCTTCTTGGAAGTTGTAGAAGTGTGAAGACTTGATCAGCTCTCACTATTTCAACTGCCTTACACTATTCCATTCAAATCCTGGGCAGGCTTCACCAAACGGACACATTAATACTATTTGATTGGCCAATCATCTTAAGAGATTAGGATGATTCCCTAAGATATAGGAGTCATAAATATCACATATACCTTCATCTCTTTCACTCGACTCTTGTCCACAATTATATCTTTGTGTTCATTAGCTATTTTTCATTTATAGGTAGACTGTGCTTCTGTGAAACTCCAGATAGGAAGTTTGGTAGGTTTAAGCCCTTCAAGTCTTCAACAAATGATAGAATATTTCACATTGGGTAATAATGCAAAACGAAAACAAAGACACAATCAATTTACGTATGTTGTTCACAGGATCAAGAATACCGGTTATGCCAATGGCTAACACAGGAGAAAGATTTTATTATTTTGTCGAATGGCTTTCTAATAATACATTAGGTTACATGAATTCATTGGATATAAACAGGGTAAATGGCAGAAAAGTCATTAACTTTTCACATTTTTCGATTTTGGCAACACATTTTTTCTGTTACAATTAAGGCACTGTGTTTTCAACTTGTTGCAATTTTGACTTATTGACCGGTTTACTTTAGGTCATTCGGTTGCCACTGCTGACGTGATATGATGACGTGTCGGAAGCAAAAAAAAGTGGCGCAAAAGATACCATGTTTTCATTTTTTTTCTTTTTTGCAATTTGACACTAAGTTTTCAATATTTTCCATTTTTGACACTAAGTTTCCATTTTCTCTAATTTGCAACATCAATATATGCAAAGTCATAATTGCTCTATTTACCCTATAATATAATAAAATATATGTACAATATATTAAAAATGTATATTGAATTTAATTCCAATACACGGAACTCCGTGAAATGTCATATAAAGATTTGTGTCTAAACAGTTCTGAGTCGACAGTTTTCGTGCAATTGATTTCGCTTTATGTTAAAAAGATATTATAGAAAGGAGATCAAATATTAGGCCCATGCCTGAGTTAGGAATTGAGTAATCCGCAAGTAATTAAGGATAATAGAACCTTAATTGCTTATAAAAATATAGATCAACATACAATATGTCCTATTACAGTGGGGTTGCGATGGTTTGACTAAGGAAATTTGACCTATTTTTACCAATTGTTACAGTGTGACATCTAGTGTTTAGATGTGTCACCTAGGAAGCAAGTGTGTTACTCATGAAGCTGGATGTACCACTATGGTGAGAGTATGCCACTTTGGTGTCTAGATGTGCCATTTGTGAAGGAGGTGTGCCAACTAGAAGGAATATGTACCAACTTGAAGGAAGGTGTGCCATTTGCGGAGAAGGAATGCCATCTTGGAGGAAGATGTGCCACCCTTGGAAAAGGTGTGACATTCCTCGTACAAGATGTGCCATCTTGGTGCAAGGTGTGCCACATGTGTTTCTTGAAGTGCCATGGTATCCCTGATGTGACACATATTTTTTATGTTCACTATAATACTGAAGATCGTCCAAGGATGCTCAAAAGTTGAAGATGCTCAAGGATTATTGTATAATGTGCCACCATGACAATTGATGTGCCATGATGATCTTGATGTGTCGCTTGTTGAAGCATGAAGTGACCCTCAACAGCTAAAAGGATTCTTAAGAGGATGCAAAGAGTTAGAGCTTCACTAATGCAAAGAGTTGCTTTCGTTTTTTATGCCAAATAGTTTATGAAGACCTGAGATGATGGAGACTTCGTAAATACCTATTGGAAATTTTTCATTTTGTGTTTCCGAGGAGATACTACATGGATCAGCTTTTACTGACATTGACTGTTTGATTGTATGTGTCAGTTTAGGCGTGTCAAGCATGGTCGCCTATCCTTATCTTACTTTTTGTAATGACCCGGTCGATACATGTACTTTTTGCTTCTATATATAGATGGCCATGGTGAATGATAGAAAGCGTGTCTGGATCTCACTTTCCTTGTAATATTTACAATATTGAAATACAAGTCTCCTTATCTCCATTATCTTGTCATACTTTGTTGTTCATAATTTAGTAACATGTGTTTGCATGCAAACCATGTTACGATTTAACAAGTATCTTGGAACTTGCTTATATTTGTTGTTTTATTTTGCTGCTATGTTTCCTTTTTAAATCTGCAATCTTATTATTGTTAATCTATCTAAAGATCCATGAGATTAACTTAATATTCTGTACCATAATATTTTAAGCATAGGTTCTTCTCTCAACAACTTAGAATGGTTGTTTTCTAACTTTTCTAAAAACTTCTATAATCTTATAGAAAAACTCTGATTTAAAAGTTATTCTATACCACTCAGCTCACTTTTTTTTAAAAAAGATTAAAGAAAATAGCACACGTTTACTCTTTAAATGTATCTAACAATGTTGGAGGTTTAAATCGAGCTTAAGTACTTGTTTCGAGTGAGTATCATCATTTCTCTAAAAGAATGGAGAGATATTTAAGAAGAATTAGTAAGGAAGTATGGAGATCAGTAGAAAAAGGACCACATGTACCCATCCTTTCACCCATTGTGACTGATAGAACACAAGCTAGACTTGGAGGTGGTTAAGTTTTCATGACCAGACCTACCAACGATGACTTAGATAAGATGGAGAAAGATGAAATTGCTTTCTATGAAATCTCTTGTGGTGTTCCTCCTAATAACTTTGATCTTATCATCAACTACAATCTTGCTAATGAAATCTGGGATGTTCTCAAGAATATATATAAAGGAACTGAACAATCTCAAGACAAGAAGCTAACCACAACCCTGAATGATTTCAACAACTTCAAAGATATCCCTGGAGAAAGTCTTGTTGATTCTATGAAAAGATCAAAGGTCATCAGCATGAAACTCTCAAACGCGAGTATCGCTTGAAGTGATCATGAAACAAACCTATAGTTCGTAAATGCTTTGGGAAGACAGTGGACTACGACGATGATAAATAGTTCAAGGAGACAACAAGATCAAAAAATGTGTTGCTATAAAAAATCTATGGTGAACTACAGGCTCAAGAGTCTACGTGATGAAAGATTGTATGGATCTAGGTGGATCACTCGCCTTGTTCGCCCACTCACTATAGTATGCCAACTGATCACCTCAGTATCCTCATACTAGAGAATCCTTATATCAAATCCCATGTGACGACACATTGCAGTCATATGAACCGGAGATGGTCATTGATGATGAATCATCCATATTACAAAACATTACAGTCAGTTCAAACCCCATAAGTGAGCTAAATATGTTGGATTAGGTGTCTAAGCCAACAGCTGAACTAGTATATACTTGAATTATTAGCAAAGTCCTTTTGGGTTGCCCTCAAACCTACGAATTGAATAGGATGACTTTTGGAGAGAGAGAGAGAGAGAGAGAGAGAGAGAGAGAGAGAGAAAGAAAGAGAGAGAGAGAGAGAGAGAGAGAGAGAGAGAGAGAGAGAAAGAGAGAGAGACTGATTTGTTGATTTATTATATGATTAATAAATAGCAGTAAATGAATTTGTTAATAAATTAATAATATATTAATTAGAAAATAGTAATATTTAATTAAGAATTAATCAGAAATTAATTAGAATTAATTTTAGGATTAATTGTATCAATTAAAAGTGGAGGGTTCTAATTATAATTGTTCAATATTTGAGCAAGAGGTTCCAAAATCTTCCTTGGAAGGGATGTATGGTTTCTAAGGATATTCCAGGGCATCTGGAATATTCCTTGCAGATAAATAGGAAGCTGGATAATTACCAATTTGAATTAATACTACTTTATTCAAATTAGGGTTATCAAGGGTTTCTTAATTCAAGTATAAATAAACCCTATGATCTAAAATTTTCGGACACTTTTTTTCTAAGAGCCAAGGCCGAAAATTTGATCTTCTCTATCCTCTTTCTTCAAGTCTCCTAGTGGCTAGGGTTGGGTGTAAACCATCAGAGGCACAAGATTTCTGGAGCTTCCTTCGAAAAGCTTTGAAGAATGATATTATGTTCATTTACTATAACAAATCAAGAGGTATGTAATCTTCCTTTATGAATTCTAATTTCACTAGGATTATTGTAGTTTGATAGTTCATAGTATGTTACCTTTATATGAAAGACATAGATCATCTTAGGTTGCATGCGCTCTAATCATTTAATTGTTAAATGTTTTTCAGCTTAGAGCATTTTTTTGTAACCTGTGTTTTCCATCAGTGGTATCAGAGTCTATGGTTATCTTTCATCTAATTACACATTACTGAATTGAACAAATAAAATTTTCGATTTTTGGAAATATTCGATTTGTTCGGTTTTTTTCTTTCTAATATATTTTTGGATACTCATTATTTGGTAACTATCTATTTTATATCTGCCAAATCCAAATTTGTCTATATATTTGATAATTAAATAAAAGCCTACAAATTAAGAGATAAATCTTTGACGTGATTACTTATTTAATTGATTAATACAATTAATTTTTAAGTGTGTAAATGATTAATTCAGATATTGATTAATTCTAATAATTAATGTTAAATCTTAATTGGTTTATTTAAATTAAATTAATTCTTTAATTTCAAAAATTTAATAAACCTAGTATTTTAGAAAAGTTTCTAAAATTCACCTTATATATATATATATATATATATATATATATATATATATATATATGTGTGTGTGTGTGTGTGTGTGTGTGTGTGCGTGTGTGTGTATAATTTAACAAATATTATATCTTTAAGACAAAGTCAGTCAAATCGCTAGTACGCCTCATTCAAGTAGCTGAACTATGAAGGGGGTATAACGAAACTGTGTATAAAATGGTAGCTGAATGGGTGTTTACTCTCCCACATTGCCTCCTTGTTTGGTTGAGGGTCGTTTGCCGAACGTATGTGATAGAATATAATCTCATTATTAAGTATAATGCTATAAAAGTAAATAATTTTTTATTTTGATAAAATCCCATTCTTAGTTACTTTAGGAAAAATGTGAAAAGTATGCTAATCCATAAAATTGCACATTATACTTTATTTGTATTTAGTGGAGCGTGTGTGTTTAACAGGCACACTAATAGTTACAATAAAGAGTAATAATGGGCATTTCGAAAATTATCATTGATTAATGGAGCGTGTGTGGCTAACTGACACATTAATATGAGATGATAAATGACATCGAGATTGGCAAGCATATTTGTATGGTTCTTCACATCTTGTTTGTGATCCTCGGTATCACAGTCACAATTAGAAGGGCATAGTCTGACAATAAACATGTCATTGATAGAATCAATGAATCTCAAAAGATGTAGGAATTTCAAAGTTCGAAATTGGTAAATTGCTTTTACCTACTTTCATAAATTTGCAATAAGATTACGTCATTCCTCTTATTAGTTGTTACTTTTTACTTTGTATCCTAGCCTTACTTATTTATTATGGGTTAAAACATTAAGGATTATTGTCATCTAACTAAAACTATTCTTTTTTCTCTATAAATGTCTACTCCTCGTGATGCTTCTGCTCCATCGTCGTCTACCCACCACTCGGGTTTCTCGCTACTCTTTATCGTGTCCAAGGTGACCTTTGATGGCAACAACTACAATGATTGGATGTGAAACATCAAGATTACTCTTCGATTTGAGGGCAAATAGTATGTCCTTGAAGAAAACTCGTTGAAATCGATGAATCCAAAGCTACTCCAGAACAACTAGCCTGCTACAAGAAACACTACAATGATTCAACAAAAGTTACTTGCATCATGATCGCTATAATGGCTCCTGGGT